ATAAGAAGCAGAACTATGCTGGCAGAGATGAAACCACATTTTTTTTTTGGTGCTCAATAACTGAATCAATAGCAAACACTAACCTAATGCGAGTAATGCATATGGCACATTATACGCCCATCGACAAACTATAATAAAGCAATATATATAAAAAAGGACTGGATGAGCAAAAACCTTGTTTAACTTTGGCCTTAATTTGTGACTTTGAACTTAGAGCCGGGGTGATGAAAAGACTGCATGACACATTGTCTGTTGGTGGTACAAATGTGTATCAAGCTTTGATTAGTTATGAGGAGCGGATCAGTAGTTCTGTCCCAAACAAGCAAATACTTTACATTTGACCTTGACGCTGAAGCTGGGGTGATGAAAAGTGTATGCAATAGTCTATCTAGTGATGATCCATATGTGTATGACGTTTCAATAAAATGATATTGAGCATATCAGAACTTTTGGGCGGGACAAGAGAAACGTTACGGACAGATGGACTGACAGTAGTTTTTGGAATGGTTAATTATTTCTTTTTTTAAAGTAAACATGCACTAAGGTATCTGTTGTGATTGGTATGGTTCATTTTTAGCTTGACTGACAAACTGGATAAACTGTCAAAACTTCAATATTTTTTCGGCCATTGAGCACACCATACCTGACCTGCTACTTTGTCCAGCACTTGTTGCGTTAAAAAGTTTCATTAAGCAAGGAGACGAAGCGTTAGATGTAAACATTTTGATGCGGGACAAAAGGTGGAGCGGCTGCTAGAGGTAAGAGTATTTTCCATGCAGGTACAGAATACAAGCATGGATGAGGGTGATGTGATGCAGCTACAGAGATGTGTTTGTACCTCTCTGCAGGCAGCAGGACCAGGGCTCGAGGATGTTCCAGAATGGAGGAGTTAAGTAAAGTGTGACGCAGGTCCCCATCAGGATTAGACACCTTCAAAGTAAAAAACAAACAAAAAACTATTTACTAAAAGACTACATTAATTGTAAAGTCCATTCTGACCATTTTCAAAAGGACAATTTTTTTCAATGACTATTTGCATAGTCATGAACATATCAGTCATGAACATATCCTGTTTGATCTCACTGCAAGCTAAAAAAAATCTCTGGAGAGACACAAACCTCATGTGTTTGGATCATGTTAGTAATAAAATGTTATAAAATATTAAAAAGCTATAAATTCACGTATTTGTTGTTTCGTATGGACAATCTGACTTCTTATTAAGCTTTTCTGTTCTTTGTATTATTTGTAAAAAGTTGGAAATCACACTGTTCACTAAACACACCATCAGAAATTTTGGGCAGATCCAACACAAATTACATTTGGTCTCTTAAAAACATAAAAGTAGAAGGGACAATTTAGTCACCAATCATGCATGTTTTAGGTATGTGGGAGGAAACCAGAGTACCTGGAGAAAACCCACGCAGCACGGAGAGAACATGCAAACTCCACCCAGAAAGTGACCAATGTGACCATTCTGTCACTCCGTCCTCACCCCTTGCCTCCTCCAGAGGCTCCTCTCCAGCTCCTCCCAGCCTGGGAAGGAGCGTGTGAGCGATCTGGTACATGTGCTGGAACATCCATTTCTCAGACTGGGCAATGTCTCCTCGTTGTATTTTTAATAAATAATCAAAATAAAAATGTGTGATGACTTTGGACTTTTAGGGGCGGAGATTAGAGTTGCCAGATCCAAGCAAAAAGTTGCCAGAACGCACCCAGTCAAACTGAGAGAGTTCCCGGATCTTGTTCCGGCAGGATCCAGTATTACACCATATTCTGTGACCATCGTATATTGTGACCGTAGGGGGCGCTGTTGCATTCTTACACCATAATTTGCAATATATATCTGATAAACGCTATCATATTCTGTGACCGTCTATATTTCCATAACACTCATGGTATTAGTGGTCAGATGATACTTTTTATTCCTTACAGAAAGTAGAGTCGTCAGAAACAGTTTGGCTCAAGTATTTCATGTTTTTCGATAAGATGCAGTGTGGTCACAATATCTGATAAACACTATCATATTCTGTGGCCGTCTATATTTCCATAAGAGTCATGATATTTGTGATCAGATTTTACTTTTTATTCTTTCTTACATCTAGGCTTGATTACTGCAATTCACTTCTGTTTGGAATCAGTCAGTCCTCCATTGCTCGTCTACAACTGGTCCAAAATGCTGCAGCCCGATTTTTAACTGGTACAGGCTATAGAGAGCACATCACGCCAGTTTTGGCCTCCCTGCACTGGCTACCCATTCACCTTCGGATCCATTTCAAAATTCTCATGTATGTTTTTAAATCACTGAACAGTTCCGCCCCATCCT